AGTTTGGTTAGAGGCTTATTAATTTTATTGAGTTTTTCAAAGAACCAACTCCTGGTTTAATTGATCTATTCTATCTTTTAGTTTCTTTGTCATTTATTTCTGCCCTTTTATTATTTCCTTCCTTCTGCTGGCTTTATGTTTTGTTTGTGTTCTTTTTCTAACTTCTTTAGGTGTACAGTTAGGTTGTTTGTGATTTTTCTTGCCTTTTGATGTAGGCCTGTATTGCTATATACTTGTGTCTTAGAATCACTTTTGCTGCATCCCACTGTTCTTGGACAGTTGTGTTTTCATTTTCATTTGTTTCCATGTGTTTTTAGTTTCTTCTTTTATTTCTTGGTTACCCCTTCACTGTTTAGCAGAATGTTATTAAACCTCCATTTATTTGTGCTCTTTCCAGATTTTTTTCTTGTGGTTGACTTCTAGTTTTGTAGCATTGTGGTCAGAAAAGATGCATGGTATGACTTCTATTCTAATTCTGTTGAAGCTTGTTTCGTGGAAAAATATGTGATCTACTCTGGAGAATCCTTTGTGTACATTTGAAAAGGATGTGTGTTCTGCTGTTTTAGGTTGTGTAAAAGCACAGTCTTTAGTCACAGCAGTTTCCTACATCCCCACCCAGGACTGGTATTTGTACTAAGGTAGCTAACGATGTCCCAATACCTTCTTCTCCAGTATTCATAGAATAAAATAAAATTTTGAGGACAACAGTGATGAGCAGGAAAACTTAGCCTACTGAGTATCTCATAAAGTCTTGTGAGTTCCACTTTAGGAAATATATAAAAGGAACACACAGTCTTCATGGAACCTCATTCAGAGACATAGGTGAATATGCTCCCGAACATGGGGAAACAGAGAAATTATGTGCTGAAACAGAGAAATTATTGTATGTATATAGCCCAGCTTCCTTTCCTGCACCATGTTACTGTAATGTATATTCCCCACAAGTTTACCCAGCTAATGTAAAGATAATAATCTACTACATGCCATGTTGATGAAACATAAAATGGAGAAAAAGTCAAGATATTAACCATGGTTTCTGGAGTTTAATATATTTTTATTAATAAAAAAGTACAACAATCAAACAAGATTGCTTAGTACCCAAGCATACACCCTGCCTGGCTGCAACAGAATGAGAGCCCCATTGGGCTAGGAAGAGAATACTCTGAGTGGCTACGCTAACTTAAGTAATTTTTGAGTATCCCCAGGTGCATAACGGAGTTGTATGTGAGAGATTCCTCATGATAGTAGCCTTGAAACCATATCTCTGGAGCAAGAACTAACATAAAATAGAGGAAAAATCAAGTATTGCTCTAAAACACTAAAAGAAGGAGGCACAAACATAAGAGTAATAGAGGCTAAAGCTTAATATACTGTTTTATAATCTCTTTAAATGATGACATAAAATTTAAGCAATCCCTTCACTGCAGGCTCCTTTTCTCAACTCACAAAAAAGGACTCAGTTTCTGACATTGCTTTCCTGCTGTGACCTCATGTCAAAAAACAAGAATGGACACTTATTAGGAATTTTCTTCCTCTTCTTATTCAACAATACAATTAAAATGGCACTCTATACAACATAGTTATAATGTAATGGCCAACACAGCTACTTGTACTGATCCTGGGAAATATCTACTGGAAGGGAAGGAAAGTTTCTTAACAGTTAACAAAATATCCTCTTTCCTTCTGCCCTTGACCCACCACCAGAAAAAAAGGAAATTGATAGTAAAACCAGTGTTTGGGAATCAAAGAAATATTCTGTCACTGGCATAAATTGTATCCTATTCCATCCCACTCTCTCCCCAACCACCTCACCTCACATCCTTCCTTATCTATACTATTTAGAGGACAGTAAGTAGGGAAAAAGAAAAATGTAACTGGTGAAGTTGAACTGGCCAAAGTCTGAAAGGATCTGGGAAATTACCTTTGTGCTTCTAACAGGGTTACATATAATGTGGTCCAAAGTGAGAATAAGGGAAGAATTCAGCTTTTGAAGCAATGGGTTTTGCCTACTTATTCATTTGGGTCCTTATGTGCTTCAAGTCCGGAAACAGATGAGAATCCTACAGGTAGTAATAAAGTGAATGTAAGGGGAAGAAAGAGAAGAAATAATATTACTTCCAGCGACCACTCTCAATTATCTTTCTTATTGATTCAAATTTAGTTCTTTATGACACAGGCAGCCTAAGTCTCTCCCTTTTCTAGGGTAAATTTTGGGTACTATAGTTATTATCATAGTGATGATCATAATACTTTGTTGTTAATTTAAATATCTCTTATTATTTTTGCCAACATCTCTTAATGAGAATCCTCACAACATTTCTGTGAGGTAGATTTTTGGATCTCCATTTTGTAGATGGGTTGACTGAGTCACAGAGAGTTGTTGTGACTTGCCTAACTTTTACCAAGTGAGGGACAGGAAAATATGAAGAGAGATAATTTAAGGTAGCACCCCTATTTTCAGAGAGACATATTTACCAGTGAGAAAAATAATGCTCAATAATTCAATTGGGCTCACCTACTTTATTCTGTGTCCACCTCTCTATATAAGTATTAACATACTGAAGAGTCAATAATTTATCTTGACTTATTCAAGGTTAGGTCAATTCCCAATGTTTTGATCCTTGAGAAAAGTTTTTTTTGGAAGAGATAGACCCCATATTCCTGGAACTCAGATCACAGAAATCCCTAATTCCTGAATTTTGCAGATCACTTTGTTTCAAAGAGCTGTTGGGGTTCTAAATATATTACTATTATATACCTAAGCACTGTGCTCTAGTTGTTTCTCACAGGTGTACAGGTTAACAATTGAGATGCCACTATACGTGTAGACTGTGATTGAACAATTAAGTAAATAGATGACAGAGTGTGGGAGTAGGATTCTCAGTGTTGGAATGGGAGGTTATATATAAACAAAGGTAAAGGTTTACAATGAACCATGTGGTAATGAATTGCAGACATCAGTATAAACTCACATTCAGCTTAATAAGGATATGGATGATTACATATAGACATATTTCTAGATATGTATATACATGGGTTAGTGTACACACACATATTTCCTGCTCTGTCAGCTGAGATCACCTAGAATCAACAATGCCCAGTAGCAACAAGCATATCAAATATCCAGGTCTTGGTTTCTAAAATAATTCTCCAGTAAAAGGGACCAGTACACTTTAAATAAATGGTTGATTGTAAGAGAGGGCAAAAATATATATATATGATTAGACTGGGGGCAAAAAAATATATATGATTAGACTGGAGCATTTTGTAGTACCAGAAAATAAGAATGTGCTAATAAAAATGTGATGAGGGCATGTCAAAAGTACTTGGAAGTCAACCCAAGAGTGCCCAGTGGGCAAAGCTGGAGCAATTTGAGAAACAAAATAAAGTTGTATTGGATTATAACTCAAGGTACAAAATAAATATCCATGAACCCCTACTGCTACAAGTAAATGATTTAATAAATAAATAAATGAGAAAGAAAAGACAAATCTCTCATGCAAAGAATTAAAATAATTTATCTAGAGGCCCTCTAGGATGTGGTGCATAATTTACCACTGCTTAAGTGTGGGCTTCACATAGTGACTTCCTTCCAGAAAGTACAGTGTGGAGATAGGGAAAGGAAGGGTACAGAGGAGAAATCTAACAAACACAATCTCAGCCAGATGATCAAGGTTAACATCCAGAGTATAAGCCATGTTAATATAATGTGATACAAATGGTAGTTCACCTCTATGATCTTCCTTCTTCAAACCATAACCTCAGTTTCATCATGAAGAAAACATCAGACAATTTGGGACATACTCCTCAAAACTGTCAATGTCATAGGAAACAAGGAAAGTCTGAGAAATTGTCACAACCAAGAGAAGCATAAGGAGGCATAACTATTAAATGTAATGTGGTATCCTGAATAGGATGCTTAAAAAAAGAATATTAGGTAAAAACAGAAAATCTGAATAAAGTTTGAACTTTAGGTAATAATAATGTATCATATTACTTCATTAGCTGTAACAAATATACCTTACTAATGAATTCATAAAAGATATTAATAAAAGGGAAAACTGGATACTGTTTATAGGTAAACTCTCTGTACTATCTTCACAATTTTCTGTAAATCTAAAACAGTTCTAAAGTAAAAAGGGGGTCCCTGCATGCCTCAGTTGGTTAAACATCTGGCTTTGGCTCAGGTTATGATCTCATAGTTTGTGAGTTCGAGCCCCATGTTGGACTCTGTGCGGACAGCTCAGAGCCTGCAGCCAGCTTCAGATTCTGTGTCTCCCTCTCTATCTGCCCACCCCCACTCGTGTTCTCTCTCAAAAATAAATATTAAAAAGTTAAATTTAAAAAAGTTTATTTAAAAATATCTTACTCTTAAAAAAAAGATCTTACTCTCAGAAACATTTTGTGTTACCATAATTCAATCCACCTAACCTACCCAACCAGTTCAATTCCTCATAGTTTTCCCTGAATTCTCCAATCATAATTATTGATACCTATGTTCAACTGCCAATCATCTACAGATGGAAGAATTCCATGGCAACGAATCCCAGAATATTATCCAACCTTATCAAACAAGGCTATTTTTCATGTCATGGGAAATGTCCACTTAATGGTGCTTTGCTGGCATGAGCACAGTAAATTCAATTAATTCCAAATGTCAGCTAAAATAGTTCCTTTCCATCTCACTGTTTATTTAGCAAAATTATATGTAGTTTTGGTGTAGTACTGTAGTGTACTGTATTTGGATCTCTATGAAACACTCTAAATGCATTTAGACATATTTATTACAATATATGTAAATAATTGGAAGGATTTTTTTTTAACCATTATTTGGAGGGGACAGGGCAATGAGAATAGGGTTTGAAATGTTTTGTAACAATAAAGCATTAACAAAGTCCCACATTACTTTGAAGGGGAAAAAAAATGAGTAAAGGGTTAGACTTAAGGATGTCAGAGATACCAGTATTTAGAAACTTAATTTGATCATCTTAGTACAACAGTATGATTGATAGCCTTTATTTATAAGATTATATGCTCAGTGCAAAAGATCCTGAGGTCCAAGGGGCACAAGTCATTTATGTGTGTACTCTAGAAAAGGAGACTCAGGATCAAAGTTCTGGAGAAAATGGCTAAGCTCTTTACTATGAAATGCCATATCAACTACCCAATTAAATGCTTAAACTTATGTGTGATGGTAATGCACCTTTAACCATCTGTCTTATAGCTACATAGAATTTCCCTTTAACAGACTGGCCCTAGATATCTCCTAATGCTTCATCAATTAGTTTACAGTGTGTAACTTGAACACCCAAAGTCAGGGGAAAGCCTATATCAAAATAACAATAATATTAAAAATTCATATGTCATTTTGAGAAAAATACAGTCTTTGAATTTATGACAGTTTATAGTCTGGAAAGACACTGTAAGTGAAAATGAGGTAAATCAAATATGAAATATTATAGACAGTGTTTGAATAGAAAAATTGTGTGTCTAATGTTATATACCAATGACCACAAACACATTTTACTTAGTATTTAATCAACTGTAAATAATACTGTGAGTGGTCTAGTTTTCTGAAGCATAGCATATAAAATTGGAGAAATACTGCAACCAATTATGTAAAATTTTTCTTTATTTTGGTTTTAGAATGTGATCCCTGGGAGAATGGGTGCACAGATCTATAAAACTTCAATAAAAAATCTGGGGAAAGAATCTGGCCCATATTTGTTTCATCTTTAAAATATAAATGATAGATAGTACTAAGTGGTTAATAAGATCCATTCTTGGTACTAGAATTTCTTGATTTAGTTGGAATGGATGGTCTTTGGAAGTAGTAACCTAAAGTATTCACACAGGGACTGATTGAATATCTGCCACAGAAAAGGGGTTCAATATGAAGACAACCTTTAGAAGAGAGGCTGAATTTAAAACTAAGTGATGCAAAGCCCTCCCTGCCCCCAGGTAGAGAAAATATGCCATTTGGAGGTAGATCTGAAGTCCACAGCCTAGAACAGAGGGTTTGATGTCCCAGAGACTATTACTTAAAAGTCCAATTGGGTAATCAGATGCGTATAATATGTAACCTGCCTTAATGACTAAAGAAATGGCTAGCGGTTTATAGCAGTTGCAGAACATCAGATGTTTTTTTGTGTCAGTTTTCTCTAAAATCCTTTTAAATTCCATTTGAAATATAAGAATTCATGCTAATAATGTCACAGAATGAACACATTTTTTTTCTTCTAACCCCTCACTTCTGTATAAAATAACCCCAGTGTGTGATTTCTCACCATGCAATATGCTCAAAACAGTTGCTTTACATAAACAAAAGAATAAACAGCCCCTCAAGACACTGCCTCAACAGGCTGCCATTTGAATGAGGTTTGTGATTACAGAGCTTCTGAAATCTTATCCAAATGAAATTCCCCCTCTATTTGTTTTCAGAATGATACTGGTTTTGTTTGTTCCTGTCGCTGCCCAACATATTTTCCTGGAACACTTTTCTCCCTACTGGCATGTCAGTGTGTGCTTTGAAAGCTTTTTCAAATTTAACCTAACAGAGAAGATAACTGTGCAGCCAAATCTTTATCCTGAAGAAGGACGAAGAAAAAGAGGACAAGTAGGAGAAGATCATTTCATTCCTTCTGATAGACTTGTGAAGAAGCATCAGCACTTTCTGAAAACCAAACTGTAATAACATATAGGATTGGATTTACAAAATCTTTCAGTTTGGCAAGGGACTCATCTTATTCACTGAGGATGTGCCCTATACTCAGGACCCAAATCCCTGTAAACCTTAACAATCAACTAAATTATTATGCCTTTTTATGTTTAGGAAATTTACAAAATGTCATTTTAAGACACTACCAACCACTCTTAAATGCTGATTCCAAAAAAAAGAAAAAAAGGATAAGAATTCTAGAAAATAAGAGACAAATTGGAATAAAAAGCAGTGCATGTTTGTTCACAGCCTTGAGTTTGATTTCCTGTTTTGTTTTTGTAGGGAAATGTCTTATGTCAGAGCAAGGGTATGGTGGAGGAATGGGGGGAAGCCATGGGTGCCACACTGGAATTCAATCCATGCAAGGCTGAAAAAATTGGAGACTGGACAGTGGAGAAGTGAAAGTAGAATATGAGGAGCCCCCATGGGAGATCATCTATTTTTTCCTACAGTCTCATCATCCTGGCTCAGTGAGCTGCGCCTACCCCATCCCTGAGGCAAGCTGAAGTAAAAGAGGAAAAGATGGTTATGATCTCGGTGTGCATGCATACACACACACACACACACACACACACACACACACACAAGACCAGCACAGCTCTTCTGGTGTAGTCTATGCTGCTCACATTGTGTCATGGCGCCTGCGGTGCAGGGATAGGTGGTCAGAGCGAGAGAAGCTACGGTTGCAGTCTGTGCACTGGAAGGGCTTGATGCCTGTGTGCTTGCGAAAATGGCGGGTGAGCTCATCTGAACGAGCAAATTTCCAGGAACAGCCATCCCAGGTACATTTATAAGGCTTCTCTCCTAAAAGGGGGATATGACAAAACAAAGGGAGTCAGAGAAGAGATATTTGGATACTGGAAAGAGAACAGAGTACTTAATCTTTTATCAAGGCTTTGGTCAAAATTTGTGGCAATCACTTTGAAGAAATTTTCTCTATCCTTACAGATGTACTAAAGAAGAGCCAAAAATGGTAGAGTAGAAACCACACAGGTTCTGCCTGAAACAGGCCTTTGCTTGAATTCTGGCTCTACTATGTATTAGATGTGTGACTTTAAATAAGTCACTTCTCCCTGGTTCAATCTGTTACTTCAGCTTTAAAGGGGGATAGAAATACCTCATGGGATGTTTGAGACATCTTTTTTTTTTTTTTATCACAGTGAACAATAAAAAGTGGATGCAAACCCAGGTCTCTGACGCTTTCTACCATACCACATTATAGTAACTATATCCTCTCTTCTAATATATCCTAAGATATACTCAAAAATAAAGCCATATACACAGACACAATGTGATTCACTAGAATAGGCCCTCAGCTAAGGCTACAGGCCTTCTGTGTAAGGTCAGAAACTCAAGGGCATGGAATGGCGTTGGAAGAAGCTCATCAAACTTTTTGAAATAGCTCCATGCTTAGTATCCTTATGTTGCATCTGGATTGTATATGTATACTCCATATAGAAAGCTAAATGAAAGGGGCAACAAGGTGGCTCAGTAGGTGAAGTATCTGATTCTTGGTTTTGGCTCAGATCATCATCTCACAGTTTGTGAGTTTGACCCCAGGTTCATGAGTTCAGCACAGATTCTGTGCTGACAGCACAGAGACTGCTTGGAATTCTCTCTACCTTTCTCTTTTCCTCTCCCCTGCTCTCTCTGTCTCTCTCCAAATAAATAAATAAACTTAAATATTTTATAAAGTAATATAAAAAACATTAACACCGTATGACCCCCATTATGGTGTATGGATCACACACCACATATGTATATACTCAGAATAAAGGCAGTACCAATACACTTAAGTGTAAATCATGAGAAATGATTAACAGTAAGTGGATATATAGAAAATCAGGATGAGAATAGTAGAAAAGTGACTTTTCCTTTTTTCCCCATATTTCTGTATTGTTTGAATGTTTTTAAAATCATGATGTATCTTATAATAAAAAATTTTATATAGGCACAGGGAGATTGGTGGTTGGAAGATGGTGATAGAGTAGGAGGACCCTAGGCCCACCTTGTCCCATGAATGCAACTTGATAACTACCAAATCATCCTAAATACCCGAGAAATCTGCCTGAAGACTGGCAGAACAAACTCCACAACTAATGATAGAGAAGATGCCACATTGAAGAAGGTAGGAAGTGAAAAGAGAGTTTGGGAGAGAAACATATTGTGGCTGCTGTGGTGGAGAGGGAACCACAGTTACGGAGAAGGGCAAGAGTCAGACTAACAGAAAGTGGAGCACACAGGGGAAAAAAATCCCCATATCAATTGCTTAGAAAGAAAGAGGGACTGAATTTCATGAGTTCTCACAATGAGCAGGGCTTAAAGCCTAGAGTTTTAAAGGTCAGTGGGCTTGGATGTGTTAGAGCCTGGAGGACATAGTGGCTTCTGGAGAGAAGGCAGGCAAATAAAGAAACACACACACACACACACACACACACGCACACACAACAATGGACATACAGCATGGAAACTTTTAACAGAGAAGTGCCAGGGGCACAGAGTGAGGAGGTTATTTACTCATCTCAGAGCATATCCAAGACAGGCAGTGTTTATGGAGAGACCCTTCTAGGAACAAAGGAACTGTCTGGTGCCATTTCCCTCCCTTGTCCTTTAGCATAAGCACAGGGCAACCTGTGGAAACCAGCACATTGTCTGTACTCTCTACCTCACCTGCTTGTACCAAGTCTCCCCACCCCATGTTCTGGTGGAACCACTACTCCAAGTCTAGCTTGCCTCAGTCCCAGAACAGTGGCTGCCCTCCCCCAGAAGACTGCCTCAAAACTCTGCTCAAGTTGTGTCTCCCAACTTGGGAGTTTTGTAGAGACTCAGTTTCAGCAGCAGTGGCAAAAGGTCTCATTTCACAAACAGACCAAAGCACAACTAGTTAAAAAGCACCACATTTAGGTCATGGACCAAACACTTCCCATAACACCACAGTAGACAAGATAGCCTCTACAGATGACTGGCCTGAGGGATAAAGTCGTCAGGACAAAACAGCAGAACAAAAACAGCACACAATGGAGACACTTTGGGAAGTGTGAGCACTTGGGGAACCGGAGCCACCACAGAACAGGGCACTACAGGACTTCTTCATAAAGCCATTACCTTCAAGAACAGGTGGCATAACTTTCTTAACACACGGAAACAGACAAAGAGACTTAGACAAAATGAAAAGAAAGATAAATTTATTCCAAATGAAAGAAAAGGATGAGGACACAGCCAGAGACCTAAGCAAAACCAATATAAGTAACATGCCTGAAAGATCATCTAAAGTAATGATCATAAGGAAACCCAATGGGTTTGAGAAAAGAGTGGAAGACATGAGTGAGACCCTTAACATTGAAATGAGGAATACCATAACAGAGATAAAAGGGCCAATACACAAAATGACAAACACACTTGATGGAATTAACAGCAAGCTGGAAAAAGGAAAGGAACATATTAGTGAACTAGAATATACAGTACCATTACTCTAATCAAGATGAACAGAAGAAAGAAAAAAGAATTATGCAAAATAAGAGGGAAATCAGTAACTACATCAGACATAATAACATTCATATAATAGGAGTCCCAGAAAAATAAGAAAGAGAGAGAATGGACAGAAAATTTATTTGAGGAAATAATAGCTGAAAATTTCACTAATCTGGGGAAGGAAACAGGTATCCAGATCAGGGGAGCACAGAGAACTGCCATCAAAATCAACAAAGGCAGACCCAAACCAAGACATGTAGTAATTAAGTTGGCAAAAATAAGTTATAAAGAAACATTTTTAAGGCAGCAAGACAAAAGAAGACAATAAGTGACAAGGGGAACCTATAAGGCAGAAGATTTTTTTAACAGAAACTTTGCAAGTCAGAAGGGAGTGGCATGATATATTCAAACTGCTGAATGGAAAAAAATACGCAGCCAAGAACACTCTGTCCAGCAAAGCTATCATTCAGAATAGGAGAGATAAAGAGTTTTTCAGGCAAACAAATACTAAAGAAGTTCCTGAGCACTAAACGAACCCTGCAATAAATATTAAAGGGGATTCTTTGAGTGGGAAAAAAAAGATCAAAAGTGACAGTCTGAAGGTAGGAAACACAAAAACAATAAAAATGAATATTTTTGTAAAAAATGGGTCAACAAACTCACAAAATAAAAGGATGTAAAATATAAAAACATTTACCCAAAACATGGGGAGGGGAGGAATGAAAAATGGGTTCAAATTTAAATGACAATCAACTTAATATAGACCACTATATGCAGAAGAGGCTATACACAAACCTAATGGTAACTATATATCAAAAACCACTAATAAGTTGGGGAAAAGATGACGATGGAGTAGGAGGACCCTAAGATCACCTTGTCCCATGAACACAACCAGAGGAGATCACAAGGGAATGCACAAGAATGAGTGCTTCCCAAAGCCACTGTCTTGGTAAAGCGGGGGAGGGGGGGCTGAAATTCCTGAGTTCTTGCAATCAATAGAGCTTAAAACTTGTAGTTTTAAAGGATAGCAAACTTGGATGGGATACAGCCCAGAAGGCACTTCACAGCTCCAAGAGAGTAAGCAGGCAAATAATAACCCAGTGGGAGACAGTATGGAAACAGCAATCTGAAGAGTGCCTCAGGCACATGAAGTGAAGACAATTCACTCTTCTGAGTGTGTCCCTGAGTGGCACCTTTCCCAGAGACATCTCTCTGGGAAAAAGGGAGCTGGCTGGTGCCATTTCCCTCCTATTCCCCTCAGCATAAACAGAGCCACCTGCTGGAAACAGTTCAGTGCTGACACTGGCAGCCTAATTTGCATACACCAGGCCCCACACCCCTGCACTCTAATGGGACAGCCCTTCTCAGTTATGCTTACCTGAACCGAGTGCAGCAGACTTCTCCCTAAGACCAGCACAAACAGCTGCCCACAACACATTTCCGACCAGAGAGGTCTGCATGGCCCCATTTCTGAGGAGATGGTGACAGGTCTCATTTCATAAGCACACCAGAGCATAACAAATTAAAACTCACCACATTCAGGCCGAGGACCAAACACTTCCCACAGTAGGCAAGAAAAGTCTGTGAAGACAACTGGCCTGAAGGATAAAGCAGCCAAGACACAATAGCAGAGTGCATGCAGCAAACACCAGAGACACTCCTTGAAGTACCAGTCCCTGAGCACTACATGACCTCTCCCTAAGGCCATTATTTTCAGAAACAGGAGACATAAGTGGCTTTTCTAATACAAAGAATAAGGCAGAGACTTAAAAAAAATGCAAAGATGGAGGAATTTATCCCAAATGAAGGAACAAGAAGAGGCCATGGGGAAAGATATAAGGGAAACAGATATAAGTAACATGCCCAATGGAGAATTAACAGCACCAATCATAAAGATACACACTGAGCTTGCAAAAAGTATACAAGAGATCAGTGAGACCATTACTATAAAGATAAAAGACTTAAAAAAGAATCAATCAGAGATTAAAAGTGCAATAAACAGGATTAGAAATACCTATGATGCAAGGGAGAGCAGGCTGGAAGAAGCAGAGGAGGGAATTATAGACCTAGAAGACAAAGTAATGGAAAGCAATTAAGCTAACCAAAAGAGAGAAGGAAGAATTATGAAACATGGGAACAGATTTAGGGAATTCAGAGACTCCATCGCACATAATAACATCCCTATTATAAAAGTCCAAGATGAAGCACAGAAAAAAGGGGGGACACAATTTATTTGAAGAAATTAATAGCTGAAAACTTCCCTACTCTGGGGAAGGAAACAGACAACCAGATACAGGAGGCAGATAACTCCCATCAAAATCAACAAAAGCAGG